TTATAGTTAAAAATATTAAGGTATACATTTCCGGAAGTTTATTCGACACGAGAAAAGCTTGTATGACTTTACAAGAAAAGATGCAGAAGTACTTAACTTGCCAAAAATAAAAAATACAGACAAGTTCACCCTGCACAGACATTGATGAGAAAAGATTGCAGAATGCCGCAAGATAGACATGGCGGACAAAATCCACAAGCTACAAGTTTTTATCATCATGAAAAAATCCTACAGACCTTGCAAGGTTTGCGTATTGAGATATCTTGTGTATTACAAGTGATAACAGGAAGGAAAAAATTCCGCAGGCTATTCAAAGTGAAGCATCTGCAAGATATATCGCATGAACACATGCAAAAGTTCCTGCATGATGTGTCTAGAGAAGAATCCTCCAGGAGGTTATTCCAATATTTGCAAAAAATGGCATTTAACTTCAGTTTAGTAACTTTAGCCTTCATTAAATTTTAACGGCAAAGACCGTTTCAAGAACTACAAAGTGATGTATAAGTCATTGGCTAGCTTTGATATTTGAGTAAACTTTAAGCCTTACTATTATTAGAGTTCGGTATCAAAACCGATGAAAAGTACAAAAAATATCATAACAGTTCATAAATCATTTGATAAATTTTCATAGCTCACGGCATGTGCACAAATGGACTTCAGTTCACGCTGTGAATAACAAAATTTTGTCATAGTTTTATGTAGCTGATGATTCAAACAAAAAAAAGAATATTTTAATTTACTTTATCATTTCCATAGCAGTTTTTTTCCAGCAGTTTGTGGAGGACACTTCGGAGTATATGTCCCAACAAAGCTTTCGGTTCCCGGATTTATAGTTTTTGATTAAAAAAATTTTTAAGTTTTTCTGGGTTTTTTACCCTATTTTTAAAACTTCAATAAAAAGTTCATTTTTTGATATGAAGAGTTGATTCTAGCATAGTTTGATAGAGAACATTAATTTGTATACGGAGAAACCCTTTTCATCGTTCCCGAATGAAGTTTGCCGCAAGAAATTTAGCGTTCGCCTTCCCGAGGAAACCTCGGAGCTAAAAGTATTTTCCACCTCGCCTTACGGCTAGTTTCGCTCGAAGCAAGCATTTCGAAGCAAAATTCTGAGTGCAAAAGTTGTTCAGAATCGAATTTTGGAGTCCCTGACGAGAGCTTTTTTAAAATTTTTTGTTTTTGATTTTTAAATTAAAACATACGAAATTTTAAAATTTTAAAAAAGGCTCTCGTCAGGGTCTCCAAAATTCGATTCTGAACAACTTTTGCACTCAGAGTTTTGCTCCAAAATGCTTGGTTCGGGCGAAACTAGCCGTAAGGTTAGATAAAAAAATCTTCGGTGAGCCAAAAACCAGCGATCTTTTCAAGTTTTGAATGTTTTCTTCAAGCCTTCCCAGTTTGTAGAGGACACTTCGAAGTGTATGTTCGGAAGTTTTTTCGGCTTAATGAAATTATTTAGCTGAGAAAAAAATTAATTACTTAAACAATATTGTTAAATTTCGACTCACCAGACTTATCGAGCGACTAAAAACGAATTCTAAAATGTTTAAGGTAGTCCATATTGTAGCCCGTGAAATTCTCTGTCGGATGAGGTATTGCTTGAATTTTTTCGTTGCGTTACTATTTTACAAATAAGACTTTATGCTAGTAGAGTAGGCTAAATTAACGTTAATTAGTACTAATTAGTCAATACCAGGAAGGAAAGAACAAAAATTCTTGCATGTTTTCTCGTAATAAATATTCTCCGCACATTTTTCTATCGATCTAGGCAAGAACCAAGCTTTTGTGATGAATGGGGGATGGACAGGAATTTTTTTAATAATAATCCCTTGTTCAAAAATTTAACAATATTTTTTTAAGTAATTAATTTTTTCCTCAGCCAAATAATGCCAGTAAGCCGAAAAAACTTCAGGACATATACTTTGAAGTGTGCGCTACAAACTGGAAATGTTCGAGAAAAATCTAAACGGGGGAATCCCCCTTTAACCCAGCATAACTGAGAAATAACAGCCGCAATTATGGGACAAGAGTTGATGGTGAGACATTTTTTTGCTATGAGAAATTGAACAAAAATCCTCTTTTGTTCATTTAGGTCCCTGGATGTTCGGAATTGCGCAGCCTACGGCAGATGGATACGAGGTGCGTTTTTTCCATGTACAATGACGTGATGCTGCACTACTTCCAATCATCTGGAAAAATGTTTATCTTGGCACCACAATTTAGTCAGACAAATGGAAAGCTTATTGTCGTCTACAAACAACATATGGGTACGACCATCAAACGGTGAACCACTCGCAAAATTTTATCGATCTACACACCGGCTGCCACACGCAACTTATCGAATCGTTATAGGGCCACGCAAAAACAAAGATCCTTTGGACAATGCGATGAACAACCTTATTGGACTCATATCTGACCGAATTCTGATATCGTTCTGTCCATAAGTCCGTGTTTCCATCTATTTTGAATGATATTCGATATTATCATACAAAATAATCATCAATGTTTTGGTCGCGAACGAATTGAGATAGTATCATTATCATCATCATCATTTAAACGGAACTTTCTTCATTTTTTCTCTTATTATCTGTCGTTTAACTTTTTTTAATCGATGCTCTTTGTTGCTTCTTTAATTAATTAATAAAGTTAATTATACATAACGTAGCTTCTTGATTTATCAGTATTTATTTTAATCCTATTAGACAAGTCTAGAAACGGAACATTTTTCTTGTTTTTCAAGTTTTTGCTAAGCGAAACACTTCTATCACTATCTATTCTATTCTATCTATAAGGTGGAACACTTTTTCCTTACGGGGAACACCAGCTATAATGTTGCCATACCTTCGCGGTGGACACACCTGTTAAAGGAATGCCTACCGTTGTTTTAAAATCTTTTAGCGTGATATTCGTTATCAGGAGCCCGAGTTGTACTTGTTCTGTTATTCTGAAACAATTTGGACGAGGCCGATGTAAACTCTAGTACGCTTTCAAAAGAATTACCCTGCTAACTCTATATAAGTCTATTCCATCCATACGGACTCATCTTTGCCATAATCTCGCAATAACAGGAAAATCAGAGGTTTTTCTCCGGTAGTTGTCTAAACTTATGTCTAAAGGTAACTGAACTGTACTAATAAAAGTGCGATTGTGCCAATTTTAGTATCAATGCTTTTTACTAGTAGTATGCTTGTAGTGTACTGACCATACAGTTTAAGTGTATCAGTGACACACTTTGATAATACACTCTAAGTATGTCATTGGTCCTAAAGTGTCCCCATAGAATACTTTTGATAAAACGTGGAAGCCAATGACAAACAAAAAACACACTTACTCAATGTGTCTTTTTTGTTACCCGAACGAAGAGTGGGACATTTCCAATTCCTAAAGTTCTTGAGAACTGGTTAGCCGTTCTCGTTCTATGAACGGGAATTGCTGAACGTTGTTTGGAAAAGATCGCAAACTTGTAACAATTCTTTTCAAGAATTCAAAGTAAAGTAAAACCGTTGAAGCTAGTTACATTGACTTTGTTAGTGCGCCAAAGGTAGATGATGTGTTTAGTGGGACAAACCGAACGTACATCTGCTCCGTAGAAACACGAGAAATACTTGAATAAACAAATGCGACCGATTTATATACCCAAAGAAACTACTGCTATTTAACTGTCGTTGCACATTTGCTAAGAGCTCAGTTAAACAAAAACAAAGTGGGTTTTTTCCCTCAGGGTGGGAAATTCATTTTTCAAAATAGGAATCCATCTTACTCTCTCTTCAGTGCTCCCCATCAATCATAAAAACAGTGACTTTGTATATCACTACTATCTATTAATACAAATAGTGTTCCCTAATGAGAGTTTCAAGTACTCTGTTTTTAGAGCCAAAAATTCAGTGACTGTGATTTTGCGGAAAATTCTCATTAGAAACATTCACTATCGGTTAAAAGCGTGCAGAAGAAAGGAGCGGAAAAAGATGTCATGACCTTCTACAGTAGCATTCGCAGACTCATCCGGTAAATAATCAACTTTTGGTGACCGATCCTTCACTTGGGCAAACAGACGATTCTAATTCTGTGCCTATGACGCATCACCCCTACTACTTGCATGATATGAATCATTCTGGTGACATTAAAGCAGATCAACTAAAAGAGTTTGTTTCTGATTAAATCATGCATTATAACAGAACTAGAGATGAGCTGCCAATGGAAGATACAAGACCACCATTTGTTTAATTTTCATAAAAGAGAAGAAAGATATTTTGAGACAAACAGAGTAGACACGTAGTTTTACTAGAGATTTCAGTATGTTAAAGATAACAGTCGATGATGTAATATAAATATATTTCATCAGCTGGTTGTTAATTGTCACTGTTTTAATCTGAATAAAAATACTTACTAGAACGTAATGTTGCTGATTTTAACATTATTTTATTTCTTTTCAAGTATCCAAGTGTCTTATTTCAGATTGATATTATCATCAACACAATTAAATCTATTTTCAGCATTTCAATATACAAGAGCACAATATTTCTATATGGATAGTATTGAACAGAAAGCAGCATTAGCTGATGATCGAATCAAGAAACTGGAATCTTTAATCGATAGTATCGGTAAGAGTAAGTATCGCTGGATAGATCCTCGCTACATAAAAGTATACAATATTCGAATTGTTTTCTTTCAAAAGAAACACTGGATCCGAATGCTTATATTGAAGTATTACAAGAAGAAAATGATCGACTAAAAATTCGAATACAGAAACTTCTTCAAGAAACAGTCACACTTGAACAACAACAAGGTGGTATGTGCTATTTTCGACGAAAAGAAATAGTCTGATTTTGATTAATTATTTTTTTTGCCTTAGTTACACAATATTACGATTTTATTCACACACTACCAAAAACAAATTTGAATTCAACTCATCAACATAAAGAAAAAATAGGATCGGTAGTGGCGTCATCAGAGACTGTCACCTCTTCAGAAACGAAAAATGAACCAAAGCCGCTAAACACTTCAGTTTCAGCTACAAATGAAAATGTGTCCGATGCAGGAAAGAAATCGAAGAAAAAAGGAAAAGACGAAACCAAGAAAGATCAAGGTATTGTATATCTTTTGTTTTTACTTAGACTCACACAACAGTACAAAATGAATTTGAAAGGTATGAAATATCTTAGATTGCACTGGTTATCATACAAGACGAGGCGGAAATCTATAGATAAAACGAGCTAGAAAAAGTTAAGGAGAATACAACCGATCTGCGATAACACACAGTTTGTTATTGTCTGTCATAATGCTGATACCACAATTTTATTTTTAATTTTAGAAAAAGCAAAAGTACCCGTTAATACGGCCACTGACATCACTCGTTTTGATTTGCGAGTCGGAAAAATAGTTTCTGTTGAAAAACATCCTGATGCTGATTCGTTGTACGTTGAAACTATTGATATAGGCGAAGAAAAGCCAAGAACGGTAAGAAATCTATTTCTTTATGTATGCTACTAATGTACAGTTGTTGTTGTTTTCTTAATTAAGGTTTGTAGTGGGTTAGTTAAGCATATGTCACCAGATGACCTTCATCAAAAATTAGTTATTGTTTTATGCAATTTGAAGCCAGCAAAAATGCGTGGCATTTTTTCGGAAGCCATGGTCATGTGTGCTTCGACACCTGATAAAGTAGAATTATTGGAACCTCCGTCAGCCAGCTCACCAGGTGATCGAGTTGTTTGTGAAGGATATAACTGTTCATCACCCGATCAACAAATAAAAAAAGAATTATGTGATCTAATATTACCAGAAATGAAGACAAATACGAATTTGGAAGCGACGTTTAAAAATGTTGTATGGCAAATCGAGAATGGAAAAGGTACGATTAAATCTAAAACATTAGAAAATGCGCCAATTAAATAAACTTGTTTTGGATCAACAACATGGTGCTATCTCTCTCTCGAGAGTGATCACTGAAGTTTACATTTTATCGTTTTAATTATCACTGTTAACCTTGTTTATTTATAATAAAGATTTACTTCATATACATCAAAGATCTCTTACAGAAAGAGATAGAAAAAATCGTTGTTTATATTGTTCATATAAGCTTGAGACGCCACTGAATCTATTAGACAACAGTCTATGAGAGTAATTGACGAAATAGAACATTAAAGTTTATTGAATTATTTCATGTGTGACACTTTTTTGAGGGTATGTGTTTATTGGATGTTGTGCCATTCATCTGCAAAATACATGAGTAGTAAGAACTTTGTTGACACGAATGATAGATCAAAATAAATGTATGCGTCGATGATACATCGGTCTACTTTTCTATTAATCTAGTGTCTCATGAACAGAACAATATGAATGATTGGCTGATCGGATCTCTCTACATATGATAAGAATGTCAGTTTTTCTCGATCCTTTTACACGCGCACAGATAAACTATACTTCTTTTTTTAATGTACTGCTAGCACTAAGAGGTATCCTTTTGTACTATGGAGTATTTCAGCCACTAGAGTGCAGCAGTTTGATTTGCGGTATAGTTTCAAAAATTAAAAATGAGAAAATGTGTTCAATGTTTTAAACGCCCATCAAACGGGTTCAGCACACAAATGAAGTGTATTTTTTCAAAATTCTATTTTTGTATTGTATACTGGACACATCATAAGAAAATTTAGAGATTCTTTTAAAATATTTCTGCTTATATTCTAAGAAAAAGGATTGCATTCTCAGTTAACTCAAAATTGGACATTTCTCATGTTTTGGGCGCTACTCTTTTGTCTTTCTTAGCCTGAACTATCGAGTTATGAAGCGCTTTGATTTTGTTTATAATTCGACTTTGTTTGAGCTTAATGAATATGTATTTTGTATTTATGAAGGAATTTTGCTCTATTATTGTATCTGTCCAAGCTTTCAAGACCGGAGCTTTTTCCTGTAGCTAGAAATGCGGTTATTATCAACATTACTTCAACGTAGTCTTTTTGTGATACGCTTGTTTTCCAAGATTTAACTAAAGATGCTTTCGAATAGCGTGTCGACTGACAAGTGAGAGTCGCTAAATGACAAATTGCTTTTTCGATAAAAAATAATTTTTCATGAGTATTTTTCGACACTGGCCATAAATTATTTATTCGCTTCTGACCTTAGACATTTCTGATTTCGTCTAGAAACTCAGCCTAACGTCTCGAAAAATTGAACTTTATGTCTGAGAATTCGGTGAAATTCTTTAATCGACTCTATAATTTTTTAGCCACATCCGAATTTTCATTCATCAAGCTAAACTTTTTAGTCAAAATAATCTATGTACTATTTGGGGGCTCTTCTCACTGTACTCAAGTATGGTTTAAACTTGTGATACGGTTCTTGTTTATTTTATGCTTTTTCCACTAAAATATAAGATAGAGACCTTGTGCGCTAAACTTGTTTCTTTTGAAGTAGTAAAATGTAGTTCGAAAATCTAGTTCACAGAATAAATAAAGTTTGTGTACAAATTTGAAGTATGTATATTGTGGACAGTGCTATCAGCAAGAATACTGAAGTAGATCGAAGAGAAAGAGTGCAAGACAATACATTCTATTTTTAAAAACTTCTGAAATTTCTCTTGCGTCTTAGATAAATAATGATTAATAGTGATTCTTTTGACTATCATTCTAATAGTTTTCTGTTTTTTCCAATCGGTAAAGTATATTGCCAATCATTTTGGTATTCTCATTTCAATGCATGTTTGTAGATAAATAATAATTCTGTTACTCGTAATGAAACAAGAAGATCATCATTCAAATCCTAATAATTTTGAAAGGATAGAAGATATATCGAAAGAAGAGCAACAAGCAATACAAGTGAGTATGAGAGACAATTTAGATAGACATAGTTAGAGAATGCATAAGATATTTGTAAATTAAATTTTCAGCTTCGTCGAGCGAGAGATGTTCAAATCAGTAAGAAACTTGGAGGTTATTTATTGAAAGGCTATTGTATGTTGAACGATTTATGTGAACAATGTGATGTAAGTATAATTTTGAATGATGGATTATTTAAAGGTGTTGTCATAATCAAAGACGTGGATCCTCTATTCTGTTTGAATGAATGAAATTTTAAAGAGGATCTAAAAGAAGATATTTTGAATCTCTTTTGTGATATATCACATCATTATTACTGGAACATAATATATTTCACAAATAATGGAAAAGAATTTCAGCAAAAATCATTTTAACATACAGAAGCGAGCTTTCGACACCATATCTCTCTCGTTCGCCTCTGACGATACTGTGATAGTGTCGTGTTGAAAGCGAGCTTTTGTGTGTTAAAACGATTTTGCTGAATTCTTTTCCATTATTTAATCTAAACTTTTTTATTTTCCCAACAAATCGAGCTAGCTCATTACATGTTGGTTGAAGTTGAACAAATGTGAGAATAATAACAAGAGAATTATAATTCACATATTATGCTTGACTAAAAACTTTTAAAAATTAAAAAGTATTAATATCATTATTAGTACTTTTTATTTACTGACTTTTATCTTTTATTGTCGCCTATACGCTCATTTACAGTGAAAAGGACAACATATCTCATTTAAAATAAAAAAGTTTGAGTGATCGACATTGAAATCTTCTATAGGGATTTTTGTCTCAAAACGCTCATAGAGCATTATTTTATGTATCAATTTCTTTAATTTTATTTGTTTTTATGCTTCCAAGTGCATCTTATTACGCTCTCCAGATCGTAGTCTATATTGTGTGGGATGTTCAGAAGTCGACAGTAAACCGTGTAAGAAGGCATGAAGGAAAAAGCATCTATATATACTAGTTAACTGAATTATTTTGTTTATATTTCAGTAGTTAACGATGTATCATCAAATGAGACTGTTGCCGGACACAATCAGTCGAGAGAACAGACAAATTACAATCACCAACGTGAAAAACCAATAAGAAAAACGAAGAAAATACGGAATGCAGGTGCTGGTGGAGATTTAACAGCGAATAATAAAAACAGTGGTGCCATTTACTCAAAAAGATTAGCTATAAAATTAAAATGGGCAGTTGATGAATTAACAAAATCAAACGAACCAAATCGCATAATATCATTCTGTACAGCTATTACGAAACTAACTGAATCAATAATGGCTTTAAAACAATTTGAAATGTCAACCGATGCATTATTATCAAACTCCATGGAAACTTCTTTTTACCAAAATAAGTTACCATAATGGGATTTTTGGTGTACTCTGTATATATCATAGAGGGCATGGCATTTGTTTCATCCATCAGAAGAAAAGTGACTGACAAAAAGACGAACGCATTTTGCCCAAAATATCAACTTCAAGATCTCAGACTTGAAACCACTTATGATCTTTAAAATCTTTTTTAAACAACTTTTAGCTAAGGCTATCTGAAAATGTAATTAAAAGTTCTAACTTTTATTTCGTTTATTAGGATAGGCCTCGAAACTTGGCCTAAAAGCTTGGCTAAAAACTCGCGGTTGCGTCATTTTATAATAGGCACTTTGAAGCCTCTCTGCTAACAATTTGGCATCTTGATTATATACCGTTACCGAGATATATGTGTTGAAAAATCACCAATGTGGTTCAACTGCAAAATTTTGATTTTTAGGGCTTTTCGTAAAATTTAAATATCTCGGTTAAATTTTGGCATGCATCAATCCGATAGTTCGGTGACCGAACATGGTCGGTCACCGAATGTATTCGACTTGGAAACTTGATGCGACCGAACGTGTTCGGACGAAGATTGAAATACAATAATTTATATTTTTCCCATCGAATAGATCGACGAGTGCTCTGTTGAGGAACTATTAGGACATAGTACCATAAACCTTATACAGATACATTTGAATTAGGGCTGTCTCTTTCTGTCTACATTATTTGTACATACCCTTTTGAAAATACTAACAACGCGCATTTTTCTTTTCTTTAGCAGTGTAGCTTTAAACTATTGATAAAGAAAAATATTTAACTTGAGATTTTTGCTGAAAGTCAAAGATTCTATTTTCAAAAGAGTATGCAAAAGATTGTAAATGACCCTTAGTTCGTCACCCTCGCTCTCCTATGATTCAATAGTGAGTGCTCCTTCTCAGTGAGTTTCTCGAACCGTAAAATAGTTAACCTTAAATAGTCTAGAGGCACTGCAGAGTATTTGATTCTAAACTGAAAATCATCTTTCTAGGCTGAGTAACGAAATTTCTTTGGAATGAACCTCATATCTGAAAAGCGATCCTGGATCGTAGAATTACTGTATTTCAGTGATCATTAGGAGCCAACAAACGAAACTCAAACCATAGACAGAAGAGAGTCAGAGCTACATTTTGGTAAAAAGAAGTTTTCGTCGAGTTATTAACATTTTACAGGAAAGAAATGAAATGCTTATATCTTTCGAACCATCGAGTCAAAGAAGCTCAAATTTGCTGAACGATCAGTGAAACATATGAAACAACGGTAAGTAGCAATACACTATAATGACAGAATCGTATTAGATACAGTCGTACAGTAAACTAACAGTTCAAGTTTTTGTGAGAAAGTTTGAAACATCTGTTTTAGTTAAACATTTCTGAAAGGACATGTTTTATACAGCAGTATCGTGCTTTATTAGTCTTACTTATTGTTCTGACCTACTCTTAGAAACAAAATAAGATTACATTGTATTCATTTATCTGGAATAGTAAATATACAAGATTATGATAAAAAGACATATTTTAAGTCACTTATAAACGAAATTATACTATGCACTACAAAAAATGATCAGACAAAACGTACTGTTTTTAGTTATACAGCGATGATATTTGCTAAAAGACGAGACGTTGTGGCTGTATCAGATAAATCATTCCATTCTTTTACCAATTTAATTAAAAAGGATTTTTATAGCATCAGTGTTGAGTGAAAGCTGTGTTAATCATTTTTGCACATCAAACTTTGACTTCTTGTTTGATATCTAACAACTTTTCAGAAAAATTTCAATTGAGCAGGCTTTTCCATTTCAGTTTTCATTCAGTTTTGTCCAATTCTGTAGTTGATAATACTTACAAATACAATCCTCTAGCGCACTTCCACATGATGTTCAAATAATATGTCTTTGCCAAACAACGATTTAAACTGATGGGCGAGATTTTAAACTAATTGGTATGGTCAACTATCATATATACCACACGTTATATATTAGGTTGAGGAAAAAGTTCGTGCGCCGTGTTAAAATAATGATTTTTTATATATTTATTTTTGTGTTTTTGATCTGGTTTTGTGGCTATTATGAAAATTTATTGATTTTTTAAGATGTCTGATTACGAAATCACAAATTTTGAGCTTCACGTATTGCTGCGTCATTATTGGAGAANTATTGGAGAAAGAATTTGGATGCAAAAGCAGCTGCCAAAGCAATTTGCGACGTTGAAGGTGAAGGTACGGTGGCACCGCGAACTGCACAGAAATGGTTCAAGCGTTTCAAAAATCAATAAATTTTTTTACCGGATCAAAAACACAAAAAAAAATATATAAAAAATCATTATTTTAACACGGTGCACGAACTTTTTCCTCAACCTAATAGTATATATACCATAGTTCTTATAACACACTTAGAATTTTTTTCTTTCTCCAACTTCACACATCAGCTGAGCACAAATAAAGTGCATGGCTGTAAGAAACGTGGTTAGACACGTTTCTAAGGACGTCAGAGTCCTTCCGATGCTCGAAAATATTATAAAAAGCTTTTTTTCAAAGAGGGTCTAAAAGGGATCTGTAGGACAGAACCAGAGACATTATCTTGTAAGATCTGGTGAATTCTTATATGATCTTATGAAATCTTTCAAGATCTTGTCAGTTCTTTGCACAATCATACAAGATCTTATCACAAGGTCTTGCAAGAAAAATCTTATGAAATCTTATAACATTCTTGAACCAAGAAGATTCTTCTGAAATCTTAGCTCGTACCGTATCTTGTAACATGAGCTTACGAGTTCATATTTCAGTATTCTTCGCCCTAGGCTGTTCTCACAATAAGAATTACAATTTCCAGATAACCTGACTTGATCTAACCTAGGACGAAGTTGAAATATATATACAATATACAAAACATACACAGGACGAGTTGTGTGTATATTAGAATTTGACATTCAAAATTTGAATTTGTCGTTTAAGATAATGTACCATGCTATGATTTCTATTCATAAATTTTTAGTTTTAGGTTATCACAGGGTATCCACGGATGCCACAAGTCTTTTGTTTTTTTTGTGATATCCTACTCTTGAGTAAAAATAAAAATCTTATCTTAATCTTAATCTTATCTATATTAAATCGGGCACATGTGGTTCGTAAAGACATTTCTTTTCGAAGTTAAGTCTTCCGGTTGACCAATGAGTAAGTACAGATAGTCGTATTTTAAGATTTAAAATAAATGCTAATATCAGTTGAGTTCTAATTTTTCACAAATGCTTATGAAATGAATATCCTGCAATGCTAAAAGAAGAGAAAATGACGCATGAATCTATCAAGCATGACACATTATCACTTTTACTTTCCTTTTATTTTGTTCATGAACAAAAAATGATCCCATGTTGTTTTTTCGGGTTGAGTTCAAACGCTAAGAGAGCACGACAGCCGTTCTCTGAAATTTTAATCAGTAAAACAATCTCTCATATTGTGTATTATCTAATTATCATAAAGATAATACAAGAGGAATAATTCATCATAATATCAAAAGAGAATAAAAACTGCAATTACGTTAACATAAACGTGTGAGATGATTTTTTTTATTACCTTTATTGTATAAATATATAAGAAAGCAACAATATATATTTCAAATCATTCTGAATTTTGTGTAATCAAAAATGCAGACTGAAGAACATAGCCATACGAATAGTTTAACGACAATGGATGATAATGAAATGTTAGATGGAGTTCCAATATCGTATCATTTGTCCTGTATACGTAATGCTGAAAATCAGCATAATCAATTAGTCGATGTATATTTCAAAATAAGTAAGTAAAATTATTAAATTAATAGACTTTATTAACAAATTTTTAGCTTTTTCCATGTTGATAAGCGCTTTTATTGTAAGAGTTTTAGGATAGCTTGTGCCTAGGGATGAGCGGTAACGGTAAAAGTTTTTTACCGAAGTTTACCATGGTAAAATTTTGAAGTTTTTATCGTAAGCCGGTAAGGGTAATAAAACTATTTTTACCGAAATTCTGTTACCGTTTTTACTACTATTTTGAATTTTGACTGTTTATGTCAGAACATGAAACCACTCAAGTAAAAAATCTTGACTGCAGATCTTGATAAAAACTTGAAAGATTTCTAAAGTTTCTGTTCAGTTCTTTCAAGATCTGATGCAGATTTATCGATATCTGTCAAAGATTCTGAGATCACCTTGCAGTTCAAGATATAGAGGTTTTCTGGAAAATCAACTTTTCAGAAACTCTGAAAAACAACTAAAGCTTTTCTTAATGAGCCATGCTTGTAGCCCGCACTTTTCTGATTAAAATGAGACCTCTCCAAACTCTACATGGCCTTTCTTTGCAAAGTTATAGAATTTACAAGAAAAGTCCTAATTTAATTTCTTCTTATTTCTGTAGCTTTGAGTTGACAATAAATATTTGGGACTTTTCTTGTATT